TGTTTTTTTTTTTTTTTTTAATCTTTAATTGCTCTGCAAAATAGGCATCATTTCTTCGGAAAGCGACCGCCTTCAAACTTTCCAAATTTCCCCAGAGGTATTTTATTTTCTTCCTATGCCTTATCTTGTTTGTCAAATATACAAATCGAAAAACATTGGATTCCTCATCTTGGTTCATCTTAATAAATTAATCTCTCCATTTAATTTTAGTGAGTTTAGGTTTTTTTTTTTTTATAAAAATAAAATAGGGATGTGATAATTAATTAATAAAATTTTATATTTATCATTAATTTATCACTACTTAAATACGTCTTTTTATTTAATATATGTTGTAATTATCTTCTTAAAAAAAAAAGGTAAAGTATGAATAGACACATTGAATGATGCCCTAAACATAAACTGCAATGTTAAATTTACAATGTCATGTAGAGTTGTAGCTTACAATTCTACATGGCATTAAATTAATATAATGTGACATTAAACAAATGAATGCATATAATATCATAGATGAACCCTTAAATAAAAAGAATTAATTATATAATGACATATCATAATATAAGTTTATAATGTTACATGGTATTATAACTATAACATTTTTAAAATATGAAAATTGGACAACTAAATCTAAGTCTAAAAGTTGAACGGAGGGAGTATATTTTATAATTGCAAATATTTTGATGATGCAATATAGGCAATTTGTTTATGCTTTTAAATGGATAAAGAGGGCAAAAGATCTATTCCACATGTAAACATATCTATAACATTTTGATCAAATTAAAGTGAGAGTCAAGATTTTAAAACTTATTTAAGAGGTTAGGAATATCTATTCCTACAAGTAATTATTTTCTACTAAGGTAGTGGGTGATTAAGGAATAAATATTACCACCCCTCAGCATATGTTATGTTTGGTTGGTGGTAGTAATTATTATTCAATTAAATTTTAAATTAAGATAAATTTGAATTTTTTTTTTTAAGTTAGGAATAATTAAGTTTCAATGTTGATAAATTTTTACTAAACTAAGGGATAAATAACAATATTTATTCTTTTTATTTTTTAAGGAATATGTATTTCTTAATTCTTTGTTAATGTGAAAAGAAAATTAAATATTGAGACTTAGTTATTCTTAGCATCCTATTGAAGTTGATCAATTTTAATTTGTTTTTATAGTTGATAAAAAATTAACTATTATCATAACCATGTGATTCAATTGTAGGATTTTTTTGTTTATAATAATGAGTCTGAAATTAATTATGTAATATTTAATATCATAACCACATGATCTGATTGTAGAGTTATCTATACTCTTAACCATGTGTTTAAAATTCACTCCCTGATATTGACATACCAAAAGAACCTATGTGGTATATGATATAACTAGATTTTAGGGAAAATTTTATTATTTAAGATTATTATGTTTTGATTTAATTAGTCTCTTATTAGTTTAATATTTGATATGATCTTTAAGAGGACTAATAGGAGTCGTATTTGGTTTTAGAATCTATGTGTTATTTTCTTTAGAGTTAAGCCAATTATAATGCATGGATATTATCGCTTCAAATTAAACACTTAATTGCTTCTCTTTCCTTTCTCATCCTTGATTCTCTATTTATCTTAGTTTTTTTTTTTTTTTTTTT